ACCAGCAATGGTTGCATGTTTTGGGAACGTCATATGAGTTATCAGGGGAAAACACCATTCCCACCTCAGCTGTTATAACAGAAAGTGCAACATCTGCAACCAGGGCATTGTTCAGTGCTAAAAGCCCAAGCTTTCTCCACCCTTGCCAGTACAATAGGCACTCCCTCAACTTCCTCCTCTTTTATCAGTGGACAGATGCTTCATCTCCAGATCAATGGGCTGGTGATTCTTTTATCAACATAAAAAGTGAAGCAATTTATTGGTTCAAAGATTTTACTTTCTCAGATTTATCAATTCCCTTGAATCCCTGAGCTCTTAACTGAAAAACTGGTATCTGTCAGTTCTAACATACAAGCATCAAGAGTCAAAGTCATAAAGTTAGAGTATCCAGCTCTATAAAGTATTTAAAAATGAGATGAAAATCTATGCATGATACATACATATATCACTTCCCCCACGTAACTGCTAAAATTCTATGATGTCCAGCAACAAATGATGAAACAGTATTGTTCATTCTAATGAATACAGTCTCAACTCCAAACATAAGGATTTACATACATCACTACAATTAATGTAAAGTAATAGCAACCATAAATATAAATCTTCTGAATATTGAAAGGGATTAGGTTGTTAAAATGACCGACTGCACTTCCCAAACAAACACTAGTCAAAACATTAGTACATAGAAGTTGTGTTTCCACTGGAATAATTTTTCCGTGTGGCCTGCTGACACTTTCATTATTTGGAAAATAACAGGTTAAGTAGGGAACAGCCTATTTTACACTAGCTATAACTGGATAAACCATACACTTCCAAATCAGGACCTACAGAATGAACACAGTGCAGAGGAGCCCAAGGATAAACACATGAAATGAGACTGTCAAAGTCATGAAGGGACTTAGTTATACACTTTCCATCAACCATCCCTTCACTTTGAAAATCCCATTCACCATCCCTGCATTTAGAGATCTTTGTGTTTGTTTATCTACATATTTCTACATCCCAAAAACTTCCACTTATTGTAAGTGTTGAAACAACATTATCCTGCAAAGGCAGTTTCTCAGAAATGCATTTTCAAAGCAGCATGAAGGTTTTCACTGTGTGACATTTATTAACACCAATTGGATTCACACAGCTAAATCTTGCTGCAATTCATTGTCAATTTACCCCTTCCAGAATTTAATACTTTTTGAATTTGTTTTATTTGCCAAACATTTTCATCTTTCAGTGTTTTATGGCATGATGTCTGCAATAGCACAGGCACAATCTCTGCCAGCTGGTTTAATTTTCTAGTACAGACAAGGCCAATGTCTCAGACTTCTAGTGGCATCAGTAAGAATTATGGCTGTAATCCAAAGGATTTATATATCCTTATGACATATTTTTCCAATGTATACATAGCTCCTAATAATCCTAATGACATATTTATGCACAAAAAGGTACACATATACTTCATTGTTCTTTGCTCAGACACCTTTAGCAATGGCATATGGCAATGCTTCAGTCAGGAAGAGCAAAACAGTGAAAGATCAAGGAGGGGCAGTGGGGCAAGGTACAGTTCTCCTTACACAAAATTTCCTTGGTTTCCAGAAGCAGAATCCACCTGAAGGGATACAATAAAACTCTGAAAGTGATGAAGAACTTTTTCTGAACTTGTGCCACCTACACTTCCATCTCAATGATTTTTTTCCATGATTTTTTTCTATATTACACATAATGATATGGATTCCCATTTACAAATGAAGTTGTTATTATTAAATGATAGAAGACTATTTACAGACTGTCCTTAGGATTACTGAATGAAATATTTAAATGTGTTCACTATAAAAAAGGACAAGGTGCCAGCCAAAAACCAATCCACTTTTGTGGATTAAAGCATAACTGAAAATCATTATTATTGCCATTTTATGTTAAAAATTCCCTAACAAACAGCACTGAAAATTACACGCAAATCTTCTTGCAGTTAACACACTTAATGGGTTAACATTAGAGAAATGATATTTTACTCACAGTAATGCAATAACAGTTTTCCTCTTCACTTTTGCCTCGACTGTTTATATGTTGCTGGGATAAAGAAGGCAACAGTCAGAGAAGACTAAAGTTTTAAAGAATTAAGAAACTTTGCCTTAAGGACACTGAACATGCATTCTTCTTTAGAACAATAAGCAAATCTTATTTATGCACATGTCTCCAGGGATTTGGCTTTTTTACTTTCCCTCTTATGCAGAAGAGAATCTACGTAGTACACACATGCTATGAAAAGTGTTGCCAACTCTATTTAGTTAGATACTTATTTCTCAGGTAATATCTAAAGGTTAATCCTAAGGCAATGCCAGAGCTGTTGCACTTCTTGGACATAACCAGAACACAACCAACGTAAACAATTTATTTTTTTAAATATGTGCCCATATGTTTCCTTTTTAAAGTTTTCCCTCAAGTCATATAAATCACCAGTACTTCTGAAATTCTACAAGTTAGCACTACAAGTGCTTGGATTTTGCAAGATTTAACCTCAATATTGCCTACAATCACTAATATCTCTTTCACCCCTCCATAAGTGGATGCAAAGTAAAATACATCTCAATGAGAGTAATGTCCAGGGATGCAGTTTTGCTGCATTTGTTTTATATTCATCACCTATAAGATATCAGAAAAAGATTTAAACTCTCTGTGGTGACTGAGATCATGGACAGCATCTGAGCTTTAATAAAGTTCATGTGTTATGGTTCAGGAATTATACTCCCCAATTTAGTTCTCCCACTGATACTTCCCCAGATCATGCTGCCACTCTCTCCTCCCTCACACCCTCTCCCATCCCCCTACAGGTGCCTGGAGAGGAGAATTGGAGGCACAAAAAGCAAATATGGGCTGAGAGAAGAACAATTTACTGGAAACAGCAATGAGATAAGTAAAGGAACAGTAACATCAACAATATTGATAACAAAAGTGTGCTGAAGAGAGAATGATTCACATGAAAAATGCTCACCCCCAGCCATGCAGACCACAGCCATGCAGGCAAGCTCCCCCTGGCTTGGAACCAGGGTCACCCCACCGGTCTCTCCAACTTGGGACTGGTGCCACACTACCCCAAACAGAAGGAGCCCATTCTCCCTGGAAGAGAGTCATTTTCCTCCACCCTTGGCAATGATGTGAGGTAGTACAGGATAACTTCCAGGTCCTAGCTATGTCCCCTTCAGACTACTGCAAAAAAAATTAATCCAGTCTTGGTTGGAACCAGGACGTAGTATCTACTAGATTACTTCTTGAATATAAAGAAAGACTTCTATTTATAAATGAAAATAAATTAAAATGACAGCATTTTGCTATACTGATATTTATCAGCACCTGAAAGACGTAGATATGACAGTGGAACCCTATAAAACATGTAAGAAGAGCAGAAAAAACTATGCATTGAAGTGATTTTTGAAAGTTGTTATATCATCTGATAAGTCTTTTGTAAAACATGACTCTTTCCTGAAAGACTTTTCATGCATTTCTCTACAGATTATGGTGGCCATTCACACTTTACTTCAATTTTTATAGACTCCCAGTAATTCCACAGAATAGTAAATACAGTTATTATAACCCTCATAACTGGCAAAGAGATATATTTGAAGAAATAGGGTTTGTTTCCCCTCCCACATGCATGATGTAAATCAGGAGCAATTCTGCTGCAGTCGTTAGCACAAAACTGATACAAAACAAGAAATAAAAAATAACGGCAACGTATACAGAGCACTTTCCTTACACTAAGAGTGCAAATCATATGCCTCCTCTGTTTCTGGGCAAGGTTCTGCCATTGAGTTACTTATACCACACTAAGTCCATCACTCTATTCACATGTGAATAAGGTCCAGGCTCACACTGGAAACAATGGAGACACACCAGTTTACACAGGCTAAGAAACTGGCACAAAGCCTTGAAACTGAAAGGAGATTTTCAAATAAACGCAAGATGTACAATTACTTCTGGAGTATTACCTCTGAAACAGAAGTGATTTCAAAGTGCTGTAAGGGAAAAATAGATCGCAAAGGATTACGAATACAAACAAACAACTCTCCCCCGCCCCCCCCCCACTAAATTCATCCCACTTTTCTTCTTTACAGACACACACACAAGGAACTCCACTCATTTTAAGAGAGATCATGTGGCAAAATTATGACATTGAGTTACTAGAAAATAGAAAAATCTTTTAAAACACTCTTGGGACCAGGGACTACCGTTAAGGGGAGAGCGTTATTTTATTATCCTGCTAATGAGCCAGATGAAGGATTATTGTTGTTTGGCGGTGATTTATCTCAACAACTCTCTTCTCTAAAATAAATACGCCAACTCCACTAAACAAAGCGAAGAAGCGGCACCGTTCTGTTGTTTCAAATCCACGCTGAGGAATACTTAAGCAGGGGAAAGGAACCCCAAGAAAAGTCACGGGAGAGGGCCGGCACACGCCGCTTTTACACAGGTTAAGAAAAACAGAAAAAGAAAGAGGCGGCGATCCCGATCCCCGCATCTTCCCACGGCGCCGGCAGCGCCCAGCAGTGTCCGGCCGCACGGCCGACCCGCGGGCACTGACCGGGGGCACCGCCAGCCTCATTCTTCCCCTCGGCCTCTACTTTGAGCAGACGGGGAGAGCCCCTGCCCGGAACCAGCGGGGACTGACACCTTCTCGAAGCGACACCAGGGCGGGGGAGCCGCTCTCCCTCAGGCAGGGAGCGCTGACAGCCGCCCGGGCTGGGGCGCGGCGGCACCCGCCTCAGGTCGCCGGTCCTCTCCGTCCCCCAGCCACGGGGCCGCTCTGGTCCCACGCCGCGTCGCGCCGCGAAACTTACGGGTCGGGGCGCGGGGGCGCGGGGCGGGCGCGCCGTCGGGGCGGCGGGAGCGGACAGCTCCGCGGCCGGGCCAGCGCCGCTCCGCGCCCCCGGCGGCCGTGCCCGGGGCGGGGGAGACAGCGCCCGTCCCTGCCCACCCCCCGCGAAGCCGAAGCGTGCCCCGGCACTCACCAGCTGCAGCGAGCAGAGGAAGATCAGCGTGCAGCGCCCCGTGCAGCAGCCCATGGTGGCAGCCGGAGAGCCGCCGCCGCTGCTCCGCTTCTTCCCTCCCGCACTGGCGCGGCCCCGGAGGCGAGCCTGGGGCTCACCGCATCCGGACGGAGCGGCCGGGCGTGCGTGTATCCCCCGCCTCCTGCTGCCTCGCTCCTTTGTGGAGGGGCTTCTCTTCGGCGGCGGGAAGTAGCGCGGAAAGGTCGGCGCGGCCCCAGGGCTGGGAGCCGGCGGCAGCGGAGGGCTCTGCCCGGGTCTGGCTCTGGGGAAGGGGCAGCGGCCGGGGGTGGGCGTTCGCGGACCGGGGCGGCGGGGGGCGCGGGTGGGCGTGCGAGGGAGGGCGGGAGCTGTGCGAGGTGTGAACGGGAGAGGAGCGGGGGCGGCGGCGGGCTTTCCTCAGGCGCCGTGCCGGGGGTCCCCGGGCGGGCAGTTTGCAGGGATTTTGGAGGCTTCCAGAGCAGGCTGTGCTTGAGGGGAACTTGGCGGAAGCGGCAGGGGGCTGTGCGGGCAGCGGCGGCCGCGGCAGCCCGGCGTGGGCCGCTTGTTGCGGGCGCCCGGGGAAAGTTCAAGGGACTCGGGCGGCCGAGGCGGGGAGGGGCGGGAGCGGCGGCCGCCGAGCGGCGGGGCGGGCCCGGAGCAGCCCGGCCGTGTGGTGGCCGGGGCAGCTCAGGGGCGGTCGCGGGCCATTGTTCGCCGCCCGCGGTGTGCCGGGGTCGGAGCGGGCTCCGGCGGCAGGGGAAGCAGCCAGGACCCCGCTCCTCAGGGAGTCGCTCTGGCAGCGGCTGGGTGCCCCCTGTTAGCGGGAGCCGGGCGGTGCCCGGTGCGCCTGTTCCCGTCCCGCCGCCCCAGCCGCGGGCTGCGGGTCTCTCGGGCTGCTCGATCCCCGCCTTGTCCGCGCACCAGCCGTGCTGGGGGAAGGGGTTTCCCTTCCTGGCAGCGCCATTGTGCCAGGAGAGCCCGGCAGCTCCTGCTGTCCCTCGCGGGTGTGAGCTGGGAATGGGCTCCGGGGAGAGGGACTCGGCTCCGGCAGTCACCGCACCTGGCAATGGTAAATCTTAGAGTGGTTTAGGTTGGAAAAGATCTAAGATCGTCAAGTCCAAGCGTTAATCCAGCACTGCCAAGTCCATAGCGTACAAAGAGACAGATGAACAAACAGTGCTCTCCAGGGGCCTCTCCAGGGGCAGTTGGGGGAAACAGGATCGGTGGAGATACTACGATCCCTACATCTATATATGTGGTTTGGTCATAGACAAGTAATCTTCTGGAGCGGAATAATAAATCCGAATATACCCACCGTCTCTTAAAAATACGGCGTGGGGATGATGTGCGGATGAAGTGCTGGCTACCTTCTTTTTTCCCCTCTCCAACAAAGTATAGGTAAACTAGATTATTTTTTACCAGACAGCACTTTCCTACACTACAGCCTGTTACCAGCTGCTGTTCCACAATACAGAGACTTCTGCCACAAAACACTGAAGCTTGCCCTGGGGGAAAAAAAAAAAAAAAAAAAAAAGCAAACAACAACAAACCCAAAATGCAAAACCAAAACCCTATCTTCTACAAGGCATTTTAGTGAGTTGTCTGATTAATGTGTCTGTGAAATACACAGTATTGTATCCCCCAACTGCATACAGCTCTTCATTTGTATATTAAATAGTTGTGACAGTAATCAAATAACTACAAGACTACTGTAAAACAGTATTGTGTCAGATTAGATTTGGAAATTTGTGTTTTTCTACCCTTTTCTTTCACCCTTTTAAGCAGGTAAACATTAAGACAGTTTTAAATACCAAACCAAAGAAGCAAAAGGAAGACAAGTAATAATCAGACTCTGCTCATCCAGGATGTGTATTTGACTAGGTATGTATTTGAGGAGCACAAAATACAACCCACATTGCACAGTATACAAAACGTTAATAAAACCACCTGAGATTTATATTTCTATGTATGGCCTTTAAGACAAAATTCTACCTGGGGCTGAAGTTTACTAAAGTTACATGTTCTGAGAACATATATATTTTGAAGGATGAATACCTGAAGATATGAAAACAAACTGAAAAGATGATAGTTACCAAAAACACAGCGTGCCAGGCTCTGTGAGCTGGTAAATTTTATGGATAATTGGTTTTCTATAGAGAAGACTTAGAGGAAGCATCATCTTTCTAGCCTTCACTGAAGTATTTAGTAGACTACAAAATCTTTTTAGTAAACCAACTAATACAGAGATTAATAATAAGAATGACAGGATGGGTAAGGAACCAGTTCAATGAAATGCCAAGAGCTAGTGCTAAAGAGAATTTACTTGTACTCACCATATTCAGGCCCTGCTTTAACATCAACAGCATGAGCTCCATAACTTTCCTTTATTTCTCCCCAAGAATAGTGCTCTTCTGAGAAGCAGCTAAATCTTATGGAATTCGGGGTGGGGAATGTGATAGTTTTGGCTGCAATAAAGTTAATTTTCTTCACAGTAGCTGCTATGTGACTGTGTTCTGGATTTGCACTGATACAGGGTTGATAATTCAGGGGCATTTTAGTCACCTCAGAGCAGGGTTCACAGACCATCAAGGCCTTTTTGTTCTCACCTCTTACCACCAACAAGGAGCATGGGTGTGCACAAGGAGTTGGGAGGGGACACAGCTGGGACAGCTGACCACAGTGATATTCCACACCATATGACATCATGCTTAGCATATAGTGCTAGGGGAAAAAGGAAGAGGGGGACATTTGAGGTGATATAACTTGTCTTCTTCCCAAGTCACTGGAACACATGACAAGGCTCGGCTTTCCTGGGGATGGCTGAACACCTGTCTGACCATGGGAAATAGTCAATGAATTCCTATTCATGCTTTGCTTGAATGAATGGCTTTTGCTTTCCCTATTAAACTGTGTTTATCTTAACCCCTGGGTTTTCTCACTTTTACTCTCTGAATCTCTCCCCTATCACATCAGGGAAGGGTGGGGGAAGAGTGAGTACCTGCACGAGGCTGCATTTTCAGCTGGGGTTAAATCACGACAAGTGAGAGTAAGTTTCTTAGAGGTTTGTTTTTCTCTTTGTTTTCCCATGTTCCTGAAGCATTTAGTGATTTATATCCTCTAGCTAGTCAAATCTCCCACCCCCAAAAAAAGGATAGTTGTGATAAGAATTATCCCTGAGTATAAAGTTTCACAAAGGAAAAAAATTACACAACAGAATGCTGTAGAACATGACATCCACAGGAGCACAAGCAACTAAAATAATAGAATAACATTGCACTGCAGCTGAAAGCCCTGGACAGTAGGAGAAGTACAGGAGAAAGAAGGAGGCTAAAACTGAAGTATGGTTATGAGAAAAAATAGGATTTCTGGAACATATCAGAGAATGCAATACAATGCAAGAATAAAATCATGTAGAAAGCAAATAAGAAGGACTGTATTTTACAGATTTTTCCACCCATGAATTGGGTATAGAAGCTGATAGTCAAGTAACCACAGAAAGTAATTTCCAGCTATATAATGAAGTCAGCCCTAATTCAGCACCATGCACGCCAAGTAGGTGAAAAAATTGTATAAGTTCTAAAGAGCCCTGTGGACTCTCTTAATGCCCAACAAGATGTGCTGTATGGATGCAAATTCAGTGCTCTTGAAAAGAAAGCATGTCCTCAAAAGCTTTATGATATGTCCATGTACACATGGCCATACCCTCACATAAGTTATGATTTCCTATGCTAAAGCTGTAATCGTAGGACATCAAAACTTGTGCTTCTTACCTGATTGCATTCAAAGCAGAAAACCAAGGTTGTTCACATTCACAGAAATACAGCGTCACAGATGGCAATAAGAGATAGTACAAGTATGTCATAGAGATTTCTAATTCCTATAGGTTTATGCCTTGTTAGGTTATAATCTTCAGATTCAAATCAGAATCAAAGTTAGGAAATCAAAGAGTCAAACTCAGGAAAATTTTCAGGTTGAAGAACTAAAACCATCAGTAAAAGATCTCGTATCAAGAGGAGGAAGTGAAATTCATAATATTTCACTGTCCTTTTCAGCTCTTTAATGGCATATACTATTTGTCTAATGAACATTTACTTGTCTGCCTTTCCTGGAGTTTTCCTCAGCCTGCATCAAATTTATCCTGTTATGGACCTGGCCTTAAGGAGGTGCATTTTGGTGACTCTCATTGGGCTCATTGGGCTAAAGTAATAATCGCAGATGACAGCAGAAACACTTCCTGCATAGTTTGACTTGTCCATTCTTCATCATGAATATTAGTTAAAGGAAATTAGTGATGAAAATAAGTAACAATGTCAAAGGATAATCCTAATCCTAGAAAGATTTGTGTATTTACTTAATTTTTAACACCAAGCATAGTCCTTTATGCCGTGCAGAGATTAGACAAATACATTTAGGGTCTGCAGAATCAGAGCTTAAGAACAGATTCTTGTGGCCTCAGATTTCACCTTTCCTTTTGGCATTTGATTCAGAAAGATTGAGAATCAGAAGCTTTGTAATTGCTTTTCAAACTTTCCCAGAATGAAGGAGGATACAGGGATCCAAGCACACCTCCATAAAGCTATCAACAGGTCACACTTCAGACAGACTTACAGTTATGATAGCTTAGAAAAACATTCCACCGTGTATTCCCCAAGGAGTCTTGAAATACTTCAAGCAAACAAGAAACCCCATGAAATTTAATATAGCTTTAAAGACAAATGAGGGTTTCAAGATATTATCAGTGTTTTTAGTAAATCCTATTTTCAATTTATCCTTCTGAAAGCAGATACACAATATAATGATCTAATTTTTCATTTCGATGTTAACACCTGCTGCTAGGAAACTGCATTCTTCATTAAAATGCAAGTACTTTATGGAATGAAAATATATGTTCATTGTGAATAGCTTAGCTTTTTTTTATTATTATTATTATTTTAAAGAAGTGTTTTAAATGATCAGGCTCAGTGTGGGAAACCATGGTGAGGTACAGACTCTCAGTGGCTAGGCAGGTCCATGGGGAAGGGAATGGGGACTGGTCA